GTCTTTCTGGGACTTTCTTTTGAGCTCAGAGATACCCCAGATGAAGGCAAAGCTGGAGGCACAGGATCCCGGCCTCCAACAGAAAAAAGAGAAATCTGAAACTGTGAACGGATGAAAGCGGAGTCAAAGGAGTGCGGGGAGACCGAGTCACCACCTCCCCACCCATGTGACCTTTCCCTCAGAGCAGAGTGACACTCACAGGCAAGTGGTAGCATTTATAGGACTGACGTGCATCAAAGCACAGTTCCACCAGGGTACACACAACAGAAGTGCTCGTGTGTCTTCATGTGCACAATTACCTATTATTGTTCCCAGCTGAAATTCGAAGATTTAAAAAATAATACAACCCAACGTGGGGAAGGGCACAGCCACATACCTGCAAGACAGGGTGCCGGTTGCCTCCTAGATGAGCACCAGGAGATGTGAGACAAAGAGTTGTCCCTTGCCTCCTGCCTTGGTCACCAGGCCAGGCCTCCGTCGTCTCGGCAGCCCTCCTTAGACATAAAACTTTCAGCCACTCAAAACCTCCCTTGTTTCCAAAAGAATGTTCTCTCCCTTCACATGCCGCTCCTGCTCCAGAAAGCTCCTTGCTTGCCCCTTCTCCTGCCAGATCACATCCTTCAGAACTCAGCTTAGGCAGCCTCTCCTACAGGAAGCCCACCAGATTGGCCCCTCTAAGCCAGGTCAGGAGCCTCTTCAAGACCACAGCCCGGTGGGCGGCTAGCATGCCAGTGGTGATCACTCAGGGTCTGTGTCCCCCATAACACACAACTCCAGGACAGGCGCACGATTCCTATATAGGTCTCCAACCTTTTTGGCATCGGGGACTGCCTTTGTGGAAGGTAATTTTTCCACAGTCGGGGAGGGTGGGGGTGTTTGGGAAACTCAGGAGTTCGCTTCTCATAAGGAGAGCCAACTCAGATCCCTGGCATGCACCATTCACAACAGGGTTCGCTCTCCTGTGAGAATCTAAGGCCACAGCTGATCTGACAGAAGACAGAGCTCCTCGTGCAGTTCCCCTTCTGCTGTAAGACCCAGTTCCTAACAGGCCATGCACTAGTACCTGTCTGTGGCCCGGGGGCTGGGGACTCCTGCCATGGAACAGTGTGTTCTGTGTCGTCCTGGAACCATGGAGAAGGGAAGGCAGTTACAGGTTGGCATCAACTTTGAAAAACCTTTCTAAGAATGATAACTCACTAACCAACCCAAGTGGCCTCGAGAGGTAATGAAAGAGCTGCCTGCCACAGGGGGTGTGCAAGCAGGTATCAGAAACTGCTTCCCTCAGCCCCTCTCCTTCATGCCCACGGAACTGGGCTGGGGCTGGTCCAGTGCTGTCCACCCCAAGCTAGTCCACGCACCTCAAATCCCCCCCACTCAGAGGGCTGCCCGGGACACTAGGGCATGGGCTGTCCCCACAGCTTCGGCCACAACCTCATGGGGCCCAGGGACCCCTATGGACCCCCAGGGTCCTACACCCTCCCTGTGGGAGAGCTCTGGCACCTGAAAACCTGGGTTCAGCTGATGCCAGGACTCCATGGAAGCAGGCGCCTCGCAGTCAAGTGTGGCAGGCCAGTGTGCACACAGAGCCCCCGTCCATACCCAGCCTGGCAGTTCCCAGCTCACTCAGAGCAAATGCCAAAGTTGCCCGGGGCTCATGGGTCCGGCACATTCTGGGCCCCTCATCCCACTGCCAAGAACAACCCACCCACCGCCCCATGCAAGGGGTTGTAGAAGGATGGGCATTGGCTGGGCCTCGTGGAAGGTGCGCGAAGCTAGGAGTCTTCACCCAGCCTGCACAGGCACAGTCATGGCGACCCCACAGAAGAGAGAGACAGGAGCTGGGGGGGAAGGGGGGAGGCAGGTGGCTGCTGGGGGTCCCCCAAATCTGTTTAGCTCAGTGCGAGGGGTCTGGCCTCCGTGGGGGCGGGACGTACTCTGCACCTGGCCCCGGGCCTGTCCCTCCTCTTCCCTCTCAGGGCAGCTGGTGTCAGAGGAAGTTGAACCCTAGACGGCAGCGCCCTGGTGTGGGACCTCGGAGGGGAGAAGCTGGCTGTCTCCTGCCCAAGGGTGGGGCAGAGACAACAGCGGACAGCAGGACGGGGCGGAGGCAGGGGTGGAAGAGACACAGGGACCTACCCAGCGGAGGCTGGAGGCAGGGAGGCTCACAGCGAGGGACACAGAAAGAGACCCGAGGGAGACAACTCGGCGCCGCTGCGAGGGATGGGAGACAGGGAGACAGAGGTGGAGGAAGGCTGGGACAGCCAGGGAAGTTAAAACCGGTGCCAGGGTCCCCAAAGGCCCCCCATGTCCTTGAATGTCAGCAGGCTCAGCATGGTCCCTCCATGCACGCAGGGTTTTCCTCCCTGTCAGGTTATCTCCTCCGGGGTGGGGAACTCACTGGCACTTTTGTTAAGGTGATGTCTAGCTTTGAGCCTGCAGCATGTGACATCCCCTCCAGGGCTGTCCTCCCAGTCTGGTGTTGGCCAGAAATCAGGTGCCATGGGCTGATTCAGGAAAATCACCGGGGGCGGGAAGGGGGGTGGGAGGCGACGCCCCACCAGGGAGGGCACAGAGAGTGGGAACCCCTCTGGTCCAGTCACGGGGGACCCATGAAGGGGGTCTGGGCTGGCCAGTTGGCCCCCTCACCTCAGCCCCCAGGACAGAGGAAGAGGGAGCCCTTCTCTCCTTACACCCCAGGACACCCCAGTCCCCCCACACCCCCTGCTCAAATACTCCCTGTGGCTCCTCATTACCGTTCCAGATTTTCTAGTTCCTTGTACCTTTTTCCCTCTTTCCAGACAAGCCATTCTTTTACCCTCCTTTTACTCTCTTTCCAGACAAGCCATTCAAAGAAACTGAGGCACAAAGAGGTTAAGCAACCGGCTCCCACGGGAAGTTCTGAATAAATCAGTACACACAGTATGAGTTTTCCTAGAGAACGCGGGTGAGATGGGGGTGAAAAGCATTCAGGCCGAGGCAACAGTAAGTGCAAAGGATCAGGTGTGAGAGTCCAAAGAGTTCGTTCCAGGTAACCCTGGAAGAGGGTGAACGAATTTGGTCAGAGATGCTAGTAGAAAAGATGCTGCAGGTGGTCCTGAGGTTAGAGGCCCGGAGTCTGCTCCAGGCCAGAAAGGAGCCACCATCCAGAGGTGAGGCAGGTGGGGCGAGCCAGAAGTGCGGGCCTGAGCTGGCCTTGGCTTGGAGAACACTGTTCCCAGTTGGTTTTTGGTGGAACTGCACCCTCTTTCGTTGGTTCATTCCTCAGACGTGACTTGGGAGCCCTCTACTGTTCCCAGTATGCTTGATACCAAGAGTCTCACTCTGTCACCCAGACTGGAGTGCAGGGGTACGCTCATGGCCACTGCAGCCTTGACCTTTTAGGCTCAGGCGATCCTCCTGCTTCAGGCTTCCAAGTAACTGGAAACACAAGCATGTGCCACCATGCCCGGCTAATTTTTTTTTTTTTTTTTTAATTGTAGAGACTAGGTCTCACCAAGTTGCCCAGGCTGGTCTGGAATCCCTGGTCTCGGGCCATCCTCTCGTCTCTGCCTCCCAAAGTGCTGGGATTACGGGTGTGAGCCACTGCGCCGGGCCGGAGAATCATTTTTTAATGCCTCTTTCCTATGAAATAAAATAATTTTATTTCATAGGAAAGAAGCATATACAATTATTTTCAGGCTAAGAGCAGTGGCTCATGCCTGTAATCCCAGCACTCTGGGAGGCCAAGGTGGGAGGATCGCTTGAACCCAGGAGTTTGAGACCCGCCTGGGCAACATAATGAGATAACCATCTCAATGAAAGAAAAATAAAATAAAATAATTTTCAGCAAAACTCATAAAATGAAACAAATGATGATGACCATAAAATAAAGTCACAATTTATTTATTGTCTGGCACATGTTATGTAATAATGTAAATTCATTGTTCAGTAACTAACAAGTGAATTTTAGTAAAACTTAAATATCCGAAAACAGTACTATTTAAGAAGCCACTATATTGCACCACTGATGTAATTTTTGTTATTTGTTCATTAGTTTTAAAACTATTAATTAAAATACAATGTTTGCATTTTAGCATTTTTCAAATTCAGTAATATAGTTCACGAACATGTGCATTTACCAACAAGAAACGTTCTATCTCATGATTTGTAAGGCACATCATGTTGTAAATTTTATTTTTTTGAGTTGGGGCCTCTGTGGCCCAGCTTGGAGTTCAGTGGCATCATCATGGCTCACTACAGCCTGGACCTCATGGGCTCATATGATCCTTCTACCTCAGCCACCTGAGTGGCTGGGACTACAGCCACGTACCACCACACCCCGGTAATTTTTTATTTTTTGTAGAGACAGGGGTCTCACTATGTTGCTTAGGTTGGTCTAAAATTCCCGGGTTCAAATAATCCTGCCTCGGCCTCCCAATGTAATGGGATCACAGGCGTGAGGCACCATGCCTAGCCTCACTGTTGCAAATTTAAAAAATATATATATACAAGTAGTCACCCAGAATGACAAAACTGAAGAAATCTGAATTCTCCGTCTTTGCAATCCCTGTACCCTCGTCGTCTGATTTGAATCTGAACACAGGACATATGCCTTGGTGGTGATTGGAGACTCAAACAACTCCACACCATCACAAACTTACTCTCAAAACAAACGCACCAGGAGGAGCAGAGAAGTGGGAAACCGGTGTCCTCTTCCCAGGGGACACTTCCAGGCTTGACCCACTCAGCAAAAGGCATTTCAAGCACTTCTCAGTACCCACCCTGGCTCCAACCCCAAAAAAGACTAGGGCGCTCAAACCAGAGAGAAACGGTTTATTCAGTGACTTAAATCTTGCACCTGAAGATTCCCAGAGACTCCCCCTTCAGGGCCCAGAGGAAGCGGGGATCCTTGTAAGAGACACACCCTCCGCTCAAGGCCCCCAGACTGCATAGCCTCACCCTTCCAGGGCCTTCCCTCCTTCCCCAGAGAGGAGAGAGGACAGGCAGGACATGCACACCACCTCAGCCAGACCTCAGGGCCTGGGGTGGGGCTGAGGGTGGAGGAGGAAAAAGCCAGCGTGAGGTCTGTAAGCTCTGGGCGCGCTGGAGCTCAGGCACTCGTGGCCTCGGCGCCCTGTCCACAGCCCGGGGTCCCTTCGGCCTTGCTGGCCAGGCTGTAGTAACAGGCTCGCATGCGCTGCTCCACCGTCAGGAAGTCTGGACGGTCCTCCCACCTGCAGGAGTAGACCCAGGCCACTGACTACACCCCCAGGGGCCCGGCTTCAGGCAGAGAGTGGACATTCATGGGGTTTGGCTTGGCAGGACACTGGGTGGAGGGGGCTCTGGGGGGTGGAAGTGCCGAAACTCAGCAGTGCCGTCCAGCCTGCTAGAAGCAGCTGACCTATGGGGACGGGGACAAGCCTACGTGGAGTGTGAACCTGTGAGGACTTAGAGGATTGGGCTGCGTGGGTGTTAGACTATCCTCCAGGGGGACCTGGGACATTGACCGCTGAGTACTGACTGTGGCCAAGGGCCAGGGCATTTGTGCACACACGAGGGCGGGCGTGGGGCTCATAATGAAGCGGAAGGCTGTTGCTGTGGGCGGGTCTGGGGGATGGGGAGTCAGAGTGTTGGCAGTACTGTGCGTGGATGGACTCTGGACTGTGTTGGGTGCTAGGAGCTGGCCTCCTGGGGTGCTAGGATGTTGGGTGTTTCCTGATAGAGGCTGCAGTACTTCACGTTGGAGCAGGACGGAATGACCAGTTAGACCTGCTTGTCGGACTGCTTGGTGTTTCAGGGTCGACGCCATGCGTGTTGGCCCTTGGGATACCAAACGTGGGGATGGCCACGCACTGCATGGCCACTGTGCGGTGTCAGCTTGGGTGCACGTTGCCTGTTGTCTGGTGGAAAGTCGGGGTGTGGATGGGTGACGCCAGGAATTGGCATGTTCCAGGGCTGGGCTTCAACCAGGCAGAGGTGGGGGTTGGATACAGCGAGTACCTGGGTACCTCGGGGTTGGCCTGCTGGTAGTTAGGTGTCGATGTGGGCTGGTGAGGGGCTGAGGTGACAGATGCTGGAGAATTACCCTCTGCCCTGGGCACTGGGGTCACACGCTGAACAGCAGAGCGTGGACTCTGAGTGTTGCAGGGCCGTGTGTTGGGTGTTGGCCGGGGGGGCTGGAGCTCAGGTCTACAGGCACGTGGAGCGGGAACTGCCCGCGGAGCACGGAGGGTCAGTGCGCAGGAGAGCTGAGAGGGGGCAGGGGGACTACTGGGAAGAACAGAGTGAGGGTCTTCGGGTGGGATGGCATTGGATAGTTGCGTCAACGCTGACTGGCCATGGCCTCCTACCCCGGGCCCAGGGGGCCAGTTCAGGGGGCTCCTCGCCCAGCCCGGGCACTCACTTGTAGGTCCAGCAGTCGCTCATGAGCGTGTACATTTCGGGCGGACACTCCGGCGGGCACTCCATCCGCTTGCCTTGCTCAATGAAGGCCATGACCTCCGGCCCCTTCATCTTCTGCTCCAGCCAGGGCGGAGACACCCGTGAGCCACCGTGGCGCCCCCGGCC